CCCCAAAACCCCAAAACCCCAAAACCCCAAAACCCCAAAACCCCTAAAAGAATTTCAAGAATTGCAAAATATATTAACATAAAACCTACTTAATAAAATTAAATTTAGGATATAATTAATCAGACAAGTAGCTGACAGGTTTGTAAATAGTGGTCTTATAGATCTGATTGGTCTCTTCTCTGGTCCTTCCTCCTGACTCTTTGATAAAAACAACGATAATGAAATAACTTATGAGTCAGACTGTGCTGTATACGAATAAGAAAATAGCAGTGTGCCTGTCCAGGTCTTGGTCTGATTTATACTGAGGGTCGATAAAGATAGCAAAGTTCCGAAGCCAAAATATCAGAAAGTTTGACAACCAAGTTACTCATACAGCTAAGCCCATTCCTTGCTCTGTTAGGATTTCTGTTGAGTATACCCAAGTTGTTGTACCAATTGTCAATCCATAGCCGATTATGAAGATGGTAATTACTATTAAAGTAAAAATTGTTGGCAGTTTTTCTGGATCTCGGTCTTCATGATATTTTTCATCATCGTAGGATTGGAATAATAGTACATGACATGCTCAACAAATAAGACTTCCAACGAGTAATATTGGTTTTCTTTTCAAGAAGTGGACTACTATTAGAGATATTAAGGAGGCAAATAAGAGTAACCAACCCATTACAAACCTCCAATTCATCTGATTAATTTCTTCCTTGAGTGTAAAGTAGAAGGAGTATTGCAAGATCATATTAACCCCTGCTATTTGGGACAAGAAATGGATGAATCATCCTGCTGATATGGATCTAATGTTCTCTTTCTTAAATATTTGGAAATATGGCTCAAATTTGACTGATTCAACAAACACTACTCTTCGTCCAAAATTACTATTAGAGCTAGCACCAGACCTTATTTCTGGCCTTAGATTAGGCTGGGCTCCATCTTGAGGATTAGTATCTCTTTCTAGAAGAGGAGTTCCTCCATTAGACTTAATATACTCTATTTCAGACCTGAACAGAAATAGCATCAAAATGATATGTAAAGCTGCGGGAAAGGCTGGAATAATATAGACTAACCTCCATCTCATGTCATTATCATCATCTCCTCAGTATTTATCTATTTCTTTTTCGTCGTTTATTTTGAAAGCAGGGATGGTTAGCCCAGCACTGAGTCCTGTAACTAAGCCAATATTAATCATTACCTGCATAAGTCCAATAAAAGCTCCCCTCCATTTTATTGGAGTTATATCATAAATAAACATGGGTCAGAGCACAGAGGTGACTCCTGTAGAGATACCCATGATTGCTCTGCCTAGAAACAAAAATGTAAGGCTCTTAAAACATCTTTAGTCACGATGCCAAGATGACAATCACAGATGTTCACATGAGTAATCGTCTTTTACCTAATTTTAAGGCAAACCACCAAGTAAATGGAGCGACGATGGCAGCAACCAATGGAAGAATAGTGACTGCTGATGTATTCACTTCATTGCGAATTTCTGGGTCAAATTTATACATTCAAGGCGTCATATTCCACACCTGGTGGACTTGGTTTAGTGAGTATCCTGATTGGAAATTAGCAAGGGATATTGTCAAGGCCCAAAAGAAGGTATACCATGTGTCATCCATTTTCAAAATATTATATATAGTTTGGGGTTTTGGGGTTTTGGGGTTTTGGGGTTTTGGGGTTTTGGGG